AGCTGTATGCACATTTCCCAAATAAAAACCCCAGAAATTGTACTAATTTCAGCAATTCCAACTGCATTTAAAATGAAGTGCCTTAGGAAGGTTAAAACTGTAATGATTTCACTTTGTAATGACTGCATAAAACATCATTGTTTAAATCATATTTACTATCATTCTTGTTCATCCATCAACAGTAAATACAGTATTATTCATTAGTTCAATCACATTAAGTTAATCTTTCTCTCATTCATAAAGTTCCCTCCTGGTAAACATGAATAAATGATAGACGTTAGGAACTTGAATTACCCATTGCAGAGATCACTTAGCAGAATACCTAGAAGGAATGAAAACCAACCGGCCTATTCTTCCCCAGGGCGGGTTAGAAACCAAATTAAACCCTTGGACATATTTCCATTTGACATGACAATTTGCAAAAGCAAAACACCTGCTGTAATCAAGTGCTAGTACACATGTTACACTGGAGGTAGATGATGAAACCGATACTTTCTTCAACGTTACAAGTTTTACAGCATAAGCTGCACTGTTTATTCTCCCCTCATACAAAAACTCAGTTTCCATTCTGCTTTTACTCTCATCAGGTATGTTTTTAAAGCACTTATGTGACTACACATCATTGCTGAATGATTCCCAGGAGCATCCAAGAACCAGGACCTCGCCCTCACAGGCTGGGTGGCAATGAAGACCACTACAACCAGCTAGCTCCTTGGTGCTTCTCACCTGTGATCCCATCCTCAGACTCAACTTCTTGCTCTCTGGGCAGTGTAGATGCCCAAAGTATTTAGGAATGCTTTCCTGGAGCCAAAGGCCCTCATTAAACCTGCAGCCCCGTACCTGGTATTTTCAGGGACCAACATTGTAGGCTGGCACCTGGATCTCCTACCTCCAAGACACAGGCTTCCTCAACTGGGTAAGTCTTGTGTGTCCTTTTAGTTAAACGCCTCTCTGCCCCCAGAAATTTGTGCGTTTGACGGCACAGGGACAGGACTTGAACAGGAAGCGTCCATCTGCCCCGTTCTATCTGGTAGCTAGAGCACTGCTTCAGGGGCAGCTCCGGGCTTTGACTCCTCGTTGGCGAGTCTCCCACCTCCCAGCAAGGAGCCAACCTTAAAGACAGTTTTCCAGATACCTACAGGAACTCTTTAACCATTCGAGGTATTTTTTTTTAGAAAGTTATTTGCATCCATAAGTGCTTACACAAGATGTCTACTGGGATTTTTGGAAGTACCTGGAAGCCCAAGCAACTAAGGTAAAATTTCCAGAAGCTCCCACTGTAACTTGTGTAAAGCACTACACTGCAAGCCAGAGTGTGGAAGACAGCTTCATCATCATGTGCCATAAAAATCTCAGCCAAGGTCAGATGGGGGCAGAAGCACAGGTAGTGTTTAACTTTTTCAGTTTAAACAAAAATATTGAAAAAAAGCCTGAAACAGGTGGTATATTTTTATAAGAGCCCTGAAAACTCTGTAAGGAGGCATTTTGCTTGTAGATAGGCTCATTATCACTACTCTATGTTTCTTGCCATTTCTTTGAAGCATCTTGCACTAGCTATGGTCAGAAGCAGAAGAAATACTGGGACATGCTATTAGACTATTTTCCACCCACTTTATTCCCTCCTCAATTCCTTTCTAATATAAGAGCTCTCTAGCTCTCCTTCTGCTTATGGCTTCAAGATCATTTTCCTGAAAAAAATACTTTTATTATCTGCTCCAGTGCAAGACTTTCCTGAAAGCATGAGGTAAAACCTAATTGGTATGGTTCTCATCACTCTGCATGTATTATCTAAAGAATGGGTTCATTTTGTTTTCATTTGAAAATATATTTGGTAAATATAAATGTGTAAGTCATCATCTCCCACCCTTCCATTCCACACAAAGAAAGCTAGAGGTTTGCCATTGGGATACACAGACAATGTCTTCAAAAATACAAGAAATAGAAGGAGGGGAAAAAAAAAGTTTATCTGGTTAAGAGAAAATTACCCTTCTCATGTTGAGGAAAGGCATACTGAAGTAGGACATAGGGCTATTTTTCAAGAGCTCATAGTGCAGAGCTGTTACACATGGTAAGAGCTGTGTATCCAGATATAGTCCAGCCAAGGGACACACGTTCATCAACCAGAGAGTGAGCTGCTTACTTGGCAGGCATTACACTCAGACCAGATTAATACGCTATATAGCCTTATCTTAAAACAGGTACACAACGGAGGAAGGCGACAATACCCCCTGATGTTTTAAAGAGGTTTATAAACCAGGCTGTTGGGAGCTGACATGAATAAATTATATCCTTTAAGTACCTCTTAAACACCTACCTTCAGAAGCATTTCCTCATGTTGGGGATTCTCCGAATCATAGGGTTCTCTGCGCAGCTTTTCAACCTCTGCAATCAGATTTCTGTACCCCACAATCTGCAGCAGGCATGCCTGAAGAGATACTCCCAACCTGAGGAGGGGGGGAAAAGGAGCAACGTAATCCAACACAATCATATATAGCCTTGAAACAGGACTACTGCGTACATATCCGTTTAATTCACATGAGTAATGTTACATCAACGAATTGATAGTCTAACACTTTAATTACAATGGAAGAATTTCCAAGAGATCAATATTACATTAAACATGGTCTTGTGAAATGCAGTCTTATTTAGTGCTTTCCTTAGATGATAAACTTTGGGATTTTTTAAAACTTCGAACAGTGAATTTTCACATTGAAATCTCATTATAACTAAACACAGCAGCGTTGAACGCCTGCAACAAGGACATCACTGAATCTTCCCCCTCATTCAAATGGCAGCTTCTCAAACAATGCCCTGAGACCAGAGATGTGAACTTAAAAAGGGGTGAGGGGGAGAGAAAACTCAGCAAAAAGCTAAAAATATTCATCTCGCTTCCATGCCACAAAAGTTAGCATAAAGCAGCCAAAAACCTGAAGTAATATAGTTCAAAGATCTACCTCTAGGCAGCTTTTTTCTTAGTCTCATGTTAAGAATCACCATAATGGCTCTCTTCTCATTATAATGCAGATTTTATGTTTCCTGATGCAACATTAAAAAAAACCAAACAACCAAAAACCTCCAAAAAACCCACCCCACACCAAAAAAACAACCCCAAAACCAAAACAAAAAATACCAAAACCCCCACCAAACATGTCACTTCCAAGGCTTTAGATTACAATGGCTTATTCAGTTTCAGGTTAAGATTTTATAATACGAAATACAAGTTATGCAGTACACAACTGCTCATAAGAATATTTAATTATATATGGGAATAAACCCTTTAATTTTTAATAATGGCCGAAATTATCACAATGCTGAATTTGGAGGGCACAGCTAAATCTGTACCCTCGTTCCTCTGCAGAACAGAGGCTGCACTGACATTCAGCTGCACAGGTTCCTCATCTGTCTCGTTTGATATACTGACACGTTTTGTTTATTCTGTAATACTGTAAAATTTTATGAGCAGAAGGATTTTCACTGCTTATCTTTTGAGATTAATCTACAGAATCAGAGATGTCATTATTAGGCCACTTCTTTCGCTGCAATTTCATGCTATTTGTGGCTATACTCCTTTCAGAATAACCTATGCAGTGTTTTTCCCTCTGCTGTTTGGGTTTTTTTTGTTTGGTTTTCTTTTTTTTTTTAAAAAAACATGTTTCACTTGGTATAGCCTACAGTTTTACAGAAAGGTTGTACTTCAAAGCAAGCTGAAAAGCCTGACAAGACTGCATATGAATTGCTGTAGTGCGTCATTAAAACA